CATGTTTTTTTCTCTCAATATTTTAAACTTATTTTATAAGTTTTATGTGTTTGCAGCTTACACGCAGTAAAAAAAGCTTATTAATTTTCTTTTTTTTTCTTTTGGAATTGGTATGTTTTAAACAAAAATAGATTTTGTTGTAGTATTGTTCACAAAATAGTAACTTAATACAGAGCTCATTCTAGGCAGAAAAAAAGGGCAAGGTGCAAAAGTTTGAAAAAAAGGGCATTATTGTTCTAAAAAGGCAATAATTTCTTTCTATGGGCTTTACACATTCTATTGTAAAAACATTGTCATTTTTTTTTTTTTTACTTTACTAAAAGTACCAATGCAATCATATTAATTACTAATTTTTATTAATAAATTAACACACACACACACACACACATATATATATATATATATATCGAGTTAATGAGCTAATTAGCTTAGTAATTTATTTAAAATGCATGCATATATTAATAAAATAATGAATGTATTTTTTTAAGTGTCTGTAGTTATGATTTAGTAATTAAAACGATTAATAATAATTATGATTTAATGATAGTTGAAGTAAACTGCAAACTTTCAAGGACAAGTGCAACAAGGGGGTGTGATGGCTAATTTTCCTTTCCCATATAAATCTATGTATTGACAGCAATGACAAACTAAATAAAAAGAGTTGAAAATAAAGAAGGGTTGAGGAAGGAAAGGGCAAAAAGGGTACTATTACATCAGGGTACTAATTTACTTATGGGGCAACAGGGTGGATTCTTTTGACTAAAAGGGCAGCAGGGTGCTGCGCCCTATTTACCCTGCCTAGAATGAGCTCTGCTTAATAGTAGTCAAATTTCAATCATTAATACTAAGGGCAACTCTTAAAGGATGATGTAAAAAGTATAAAAGTTAACAGTTTTTATTCACTTCATGAAAATATTACTTTACAACTGTATAGTATGGTTTTTATTATAGAATTTCATAATGTGAATAATTTTTGATAATTATAAAATTGCAAATATAAGTATAAATATAAATAAATAGTTAGATAAAACTGAAATTGATTACTTTTGTTTATTGACTTCTATTGATTGACTTTTATAAAAATATGTTTTATACTCTAACAAGTTCAATCAAGTTCAAATTTGATAAAATTGGCTTATCTCAAAAAAATATTTTTAATGCATTTAAAATAAACACTTAAAAATGATATAAAATTTATCAGAAAACTCTGTATAAAGGGAAGAAAAAAATAATGAATAAAAATTTAGCTACTCAAGTATTATTTGTTAGTTAAATTTGAAATATTGATTCATGAAAATCTGCTGGACTTAAAATATAATTTGGAGAAGATTGAGGGAAATGGATAGTAGCAATAAGCAGATTTCAGTTAATATTTTATTTAGTATTTCTGTATTGCTTAGTAAATAATGTGTGGAATGATATTATATAATTACTGTTATGCTGCTTCACAACAACACAGAAAATTAAGTCAAATTATATTGCCTAATTATTCTACTACCATCTAAATCTTACTTTTGCATATTCCAAAAATAAAAAACGACACAAAATAGTAATAGGAAATAGAAAATCTTATATTGTATAACATCAAAACCGATGCAAAAAAATATTATTTTATTTATTTTTATAAAAATATTTGTTTGCGTAGTAACTAACATAATATAGTGCAGAGAAAGACTTTTTGTATCATTTAACATTGATTTATCATTTTAAATTTGGGCAAAATAACATTAGGTTTTCTGATGTTATCGAATATTTACCTATTACTTGGGTAGTTTCTTTCAATGTAAGGAATATAGTAGTACTTTATTTTATATAGAACTTTTAACATATGGGGATAAAATTGTATTATATTACATATCACACTATGTATTCACAAACATCATACTAATTTTCATAAAATTTTAAATATCAATACTGAAAGTAATTCTAAAAACATTTATCAATGACTATTTTTAATGCTGTTAAATTGTATTTTAACATACCTAATCATAAAATTATACATTAACTATAGTTTATAAAATAAACTTGATTTTTAACCATATATTCTTAAGTTGCTGAATTTTCTTTTTCAGAACAATGGCTAATTTTAAAAAAAATTATTATGTGGTAAAAAGATTAGTAAATTTTTTAATATTTCAGCTGAAAATCTTGTCTTAACTGATAAATTTTATTTTCAAAATTAAAACTGAGTATAGTTGGATAATATCGTTACAAGCTGTGTAAATATACTTTTGTGAAGATTTAAGTTCTGCAGATTTTCTTTAAGTTTGTTTTATATATAAGTATATGCAAAAGAAAGTCAATTTGCATAATTTCTTATTCATGTGGATAAATGTTGATGTTATCTTCGTAATATACAGGTATAGGACAAAATAATAGGAACACCTGTGAAAAAATGAAAATATTTTATTAATAAGGAGTTGGGCCACCTTTGGCCTGAATGACAGCTTGCATTTGAAGTGGGATTGACAAATAAAGGTCTTGAACAAAGTTCATTGGAATTTGCAGCCATTTCTCTTGCAGGGCTGTCTTCAGTTCAGAAAGTGTGCATGGAGGAGGAAACCGAGCACGGACTTTTTTCTCCAAAAAACCCCACAAAGGCTCATCAGAGGATTCATCAGACCAGATGACTTATTCCCATTGCAGTTGCGTCCATTTTAGGTGGTCTTGGCACCACTGTAGTCTCTTCAAAGCATTCCGCGCTGAACCTAACGGTTTTGGAATAGCTACTCTGCCATGAATGTTAGCAGCATGCAACTCCCGTTGAATGGTTTTCATGGATACAGGGTTCTGAAGGTGGGTATTCATCTCGGATGTTATCACCGGCAGTGTAGTCTTGCGTTTTCGATCGACTATCCTCTTCAACACCCGTCTATCACGGTCTGACAACTTCGACTTCCTGCCGCTGTTGTGCCTTGCCGAAGGCACCTTACCCAACTTTGTGTATGCCGACAGAGTCCTTGATACAGTGGTCCTTGAAACACCTACAAGGTTTGCTGTTCTGGACACGGACGCTCCAGCCAGGCGAGCTCCGATTATCATGCCTCTTTTAAGGTCAGAGAGGTCGGACATAATCTCGTTCTGCTAGAAACAGATTTTTTCATGCAAATCTCACACTGCCAAATGCTAGACAGATACCTTGCCTTTCATCACCACTAGGTGGCACATTCTTGCGACATGTGCCCGTCGCGTATTGGACGGTCGAGAATGACTCCATTCTATCACAGGTGTTCCTATTATTTTGTCCTATACCTGTACATATTCTTTCATGCCTGTCACACATTGAAGAATGGTTTATGTTTAACCCATTTTGGAATAAAATAATTTAGATATCAAGAAATATTTAGTTTCAGATACTTTTAGATTAGTATGTGTCTATAGTTTATTTTATATATATATATATATATATATATATATTATGTTTTTAGCTTGTAAGCTTTGAAATATAAATGTTATAGCTAAGATTTTTTTCACCCAAATTTTTATTGCCTTGCAGTGTTTTTGCATAGCGTTTACTAATATTATATATTTTGGGAGAAAAACTTTTTGTTAAATTTAATTGGGCAGATAAATAAATTTAATTAAAAAATAAAATTAATTCAAAGCAAATTAATATCTAAAATTGCTAAAAAATTTCTTAAATTATAATTAAATATCTTAATTTAATCAATCAAAAAATTGATTGTGATTGTGTTTTTTGAAAAATAAGGATAGCATAAATCAAAATTCGAAACAAATTATTATAATGAGTCATTTAAGATTAAAATTCTGCATAAAATTAAATAAATAATATTAAAATAGTTAGTTTAAAAAAATTAAATGTAGGAAATGTTTTTTGCTCTTTATTAAATTTTATTCGTTTTAAAATTGAATTATTCCTCTTTTAGTTATCTAAAATAATAGTTTATCAATGTTAAGTTCTTCCATTTTTCTGTTGTCTTTTCCCCCACTTTCTCCTGTGTCCTGGAAGAAATAATTTCTTCCGGAAGAAATCATAACTCTGGTTTCAATTTGTTTTGTGTTTTCATTCTGTAAAAATAGATTCTGAATGGTTAGTTCTAAAGAGAAAAAAATTTGTACATTCTTGCTCCATTATTTTCCAAATGCTTAGATTAAAAATTAATCAGTTCATAATTTTTTTTAGAATTAATTTTGAAAAGTCTAAAATTGTTTAGCATTGTTGTTTGTGCATTCTTATTGAAAAAAAGGATGACATCCTTAATTGGCAAAAAAGATCTGGAAGTCTTTGGTTATCATCAACATAAAAACATTATTAAAGTTATATGGCATTTACCATTTACTTGTAAATTTATATATTTTTCTTATATTTAACCACATTTTTAATCTAATTTGTTTTCAGATGGTATATTTAAAACTTAATATTTGAGGCTTAACTGTTGTGGTATTTATATTTAACTTATTTTTTCATTTCAACTTTTTTTATTAAAATCGAAAGTAATCATTGTGAAAATCTTATTCAAAGCATCAATTTAAATTATAGGCTTTGAGCAAAAGTGATGTTCCTTTATATAAAGTAATTATATGATATTATATGCAACAATTTATGATAAACATACATTCACATTCAGTGACCATCTAATTTACATAATTATTTTACTATATTCAACAAGTTCTATAATAACCAAAAATTTTATAAGAATTTAGAAAACAAGCTTACAAATTAAATTTCAATGTTAAATGCAAAGTGATCAGGTCTAAATCATTTGAACAAAATCAGTACTAATGGAATGAAACTTTTTAGCATCTTATAGTTGACTAAATTTTAGTTTTAAATTCTAGATCTGTTTATTGTCAAGAAACAGAAATGACTGTAAAACAAACATAGTGACCCAAACTCTCCAGTAAATAAATTAGATACACTTATTTAACAGATTATTTTTATACATATAGACTTGATTATATGAAATAACTAAAAATTAGTTAGCAATTCATGAAATTTTTAGTTTTTTTTTTTAATTTTGTCTAAACAAAATTTCCAGGCTTCGGTCTGTTTACGGAAATGACTGGCAAGCAATCGGCGCTGCAATGGGAAGAAGTGCATCCTCTATTAAAGATCGCTGCCGACTCATGAAAGATAACTGTAATCAAGGTAATTCTATTTTCAACGTTATTTTATTCATTTGAGAATAATTTTATTTATTTCAGAAAGGAAGAACATCAATCATTCTAAGTCTTTTTGCTGTCAGATTTTGTACAAATTTTGGTTCTTTTTTTATTTTCGTTAAATTAATTGGAAAAAAATAAAGAAAACTTTTCTTTGTGTTTTCTTTGGAAGAACAAGTTTTAAAACTGGAGTAAATATGATTTGCTTAAATAGTTCCAGATATATAACAAATTACTAAAACATCAAGTCAAACTTTCAACAACTCTGTAATAACTATTGGTATCATAGTTTCCAACAGTATGAATGTGTCTTTAAAAAACATAGATTTAACCAGTAAGAGTTCATTTTTATGTTTGATTTTGAACTTTAGAAAATCATTTGCACTCCCTCTAACTTTTTGACCTTGAATCTTCTGTCAAATTATTTAAAATTTAATGATAATAAAGAGGGGTTAGATTTATTTTTCCCTGTATTCTCGGACTCTAACCCAGGATCCGCCTACCACTTAGCATATTTTATGTTAGCATTGTCCGTTCAAACCGGATGCAGAATTCGTATCGACCATCCATCTCTGGGATTCAAACCTGTTCACCTCTTTGGTGGTGAGCTCTCTGTCCCCTGAGCCACAGGGCACTTAATTGTAATATTTCTGAATAAATATTTACATTTTCTAGTTAGAATTTTTTTTTATGACTCCAGCTTGTCAGGAAATGTAATTATCGAGCTAAGCCCTATACAACTATGTAAACTATTGCTTCTAAGTTAAGTCACTTCCAATCTTTTATTTGCAGGCAAAGAGCTCTTATCTAAGTGTTGTGTTATAAAGTATTTGATATTTCAAGTTTTTGATTATTGCTTTTGATTCAAGATGTTTCTTTGAAAACTTCAGGAAAATGGTTGCCTGCCGAAGAACGGAGGTTGGCCGAGGCCGTGTACGACTTGACGAATGCTCTTCCCGGTGAAATGATATCGAGCGGTTTGTCTTGGGCTGTTGTAGCTGAGCGTGTAGGAACTCGTTCTGAAAAACAGTGCAGAACTAAATGGTTGAATTACCTGAACTGGAAGGTGGCTGGAGGAACCGAGTGGACCCGTGATGATGATGTCACTTTAATTTGCAGGTTATTAGCACTTAAGTTATTCATTATTACTGATATTGTTGGAATTGACTAATATAGGAGTTTATTTCTAAATACTTTATGATTTAAAAAAAGGAAATCTAGACTTTTTCTTGCTCTGTTTTCCCTAATACTACACATCCTATTTCCAAACAAGGATTAAGATTAACGTTAATGAGTGTAAAATTAAGAGATGTTTTCAAATTCAGTCAATTGTATCTGTAACTACAAAACTACTGGTCAGATTTTTTGAAAATTAGGTATAAACATAGGTTGATAAACAATAAAAGAAACATTCATGTGTTGTTATGAATGTGCAGAAGATATGAAACTGTGGTTATATAATTGATTAAAAATATATATATATATGTCTCCCTCTTACTAATATACAGGCCTTACAGAATGTTTGCAGTTTAGCTGATGATCTCTCATTCAACGATGCCGTTTTTATGGCCCTCTAGGCAGAATGTAGCAAAACTACCTAATTGAAGAAATAAGGAAAATAAAATGAAAATTCTCTTTTACTTAAAACAAATATGTGACAAAAATGAGAAAAATAAAATTTTCTTGTTATAAATACTCTATAAAAAGTGTTAAAAGAAACATGATTTATAAGTGTACTGCATCCTTTCCTTATTTATATATACTCCTTTGTAAATGCAAACTATAGTTGAAAATTTGAGCTTTCTTGGTGGTAATTTTAAATTTTGATGTCTTTTGCCTAATATCTGAAACCGTGTAAATTAATCAAAAAAAAATTTCATAATTAGAAAGCTATTTTATCTTAAAATAATTCCATTGGATTATATCTATTATTTTTTTATATTCTTAGAAATAGGATCCCAATTGTTTTGTCTAGAGAGTTAGTTTATTTCATTGTTATGGTTTGTTTTAGTCCTATTTGATTATATAGCTTGTTTGATTCAGTCCTATTTGTTGAATGGCCTATTTACTTGATTCAATTTTTTTCCCCTTTCTTTTTTTAAGCTAATATCTGAAACTGTGTAGTTCTGGCAAAGTTCATAGAAGTCATACTATAAAATTTTTATCTTTATAGAACTCACTATATGTTATGGAAATCAAAATAGTTAAATGAAATGTTAAAAATTTTGTTCTTTACAATTCAAAAGTTTTCCTATCGTTATTATGTTAAATAATAAAAAAATGTTTTTTTTTTAATCGGAATTATTTTTGGATAAATGATTTTCATAAATATCGTAAGCAATTCCTTCCTTTGAATAAATTATTAATATATGTGCGTGAATGGATTGACAGACCAACTTTCCAAAAAATAGATTTGTTTATTTAGAAAAGGTTTGTTCCTCATAACTTAAAATGTGCTTTGCACTTTTTATTTTGTTTAAGATCCTGCCCCTCAAACTTTTAAATAGATCAAAAATTTAGGTGCTCCTTTTTTTATTTAGCATAGTGCACTGTACATCTTATCTGAAAAATAAAATAAAAATATTTGTTTTCTGACCAGCATCTAACTATCTCTGTGATTCAGTTTTGAAAAAAAAAATTGGTTCCAAAATGCAATTATACTGTATATTGGTTTTGAAAAATATACTTTTTGGACAAAAGAAAATAATTATGCACTTATTCATTGTTCAAAAGAACAAGTTTGCTTGTTTAGCTGAATTTTATTTATTGAACGAATAATTTTTATGTAATTCCAGGGTGTATGCTCTGAGTGCCTCAGATGAAAATCAGGTAGATTGGAATGAGCTTTCTAAAGACTGGATGAGGTTTGTCCCACAATATTTTTTTTTCTATCTAATGTTATTTAAAGATTGTCAAAAAAAAATCCATTTGTTTTCCATAGTGTGAGGTCACCACAATGGTTGCGTGGGAAGTGGTGGAGCCTTAAAAGACATGTGCCAAATTCAAACACTGTATCGTTTCAAGGTAAACTATTTATCCCATTGAATGAATTAATTCCACCTACTTTTTATTTCCTGCAGTAATTTCTTTTTCTTGTATAATTTTAATTTTAAACTAATTGTTCCAGTGTGAACTCGATTAGAAATGTTTTAACTGCTCAAATAGATTACAGCATTACTATAATTATTCAGCTTGCCGGGGATTTTATTAAAATTGAATTCTGCATTAAAAATAAAAAAACTTTTTTAAGAGCGCTCTTTTGACCAAACTACAGTGGGTGATCGGTTAACGAACATAATCCGTTCCAAGATTATGTTCGCTATCCGAATTGTTCGTTAACCAATCATCGATTCACCATAGACTTCTGTGTGAAATTGATTAATTCGTTCTGGAGACCCTAAAAATTAAATTTTAAAAAATTTATAATTTCTTAGTAAGTTTTTTAAAAAATAATACATATATATAGTCTTGCATATTAATCAGTCCTTTTCATTTTTTGCTTATGGGGCATTGAAGAACGTGTCCAATGTCAATTACTTTTCTCTCTTTTTCAGGATTTTCCGGAAGTAATTAATAGCATTGTCGTTGTAAAGATCCCCAACCCTACTGACATTAGCTAGGTTTGGGTGCTATTCTAAGGCCATTGCTCTGACATCCTCCCACTTTTTCAAAAGATCTTTAATGGCAGATGTCGGCATTGGTCCTCTTTCGTCTTCCTCTCGTTTAGAAGGAGAGACATTTCGCTGTGTTTCTTGGTGTTCTTCATACAAAAATTTCTTGGAGTTCTTCTGTCTTCAGTTCATCTTCATGTCCCATTATAAGCTCTTCCATGTCATCCTCGTTCACCTCCACTTCCAGATCTTTAGCAGTTGTCAAAATTTCATCCATAATTTCAGGGGTGTCTCCCTTATCACCTCCGTCTCCTTGAACGAAGGATGGACACAGCTTCCGCCAAGCAGAAATCAACTGTCGCTGTGTGGCTTCTGACCACGCCTTTTGAATGATACGAATAGCTTCAAGAATGTCAAATTTTTCTTTCCAAAACTTTTTTAAAGTCATTGTTTAGGAGAATTGGCTTGCTTCAAAGCACCGACGAAACAGCGCGTGAGTGTACAATTTCTTGAAAGCCGCAATAACCTCCTGATCCATCGGCTGAATCAGCGAAGTCGTATTCGGAGGTAAAAACTGAACTGTCAGCCAGGGAAAGTCTGTCAACAAATTATCTTCAAGATCCTTTGGGTGTCCTGGTGCATTGTCCAATAGCAGCAGTGCTTTCAATGGCAAGTCATTGGCATCAAGGTAGTCTTGATGCTCGGGGCACAAACTTCAAATAGCCATTCTTTGAAAAGATACTGCGTGACCCATGCTCTCTGATTCGATCTCCATATTACTGGCAGTTTGCTCTTAATTATGGAATTTTTTTTAATACTCTGGGATTCTCAGAGTGGTAAACGAGAAGTGGTTTAAGCTTCATATCACCACTAGCCTTAGCTCCCAAAAGTAACGTCAATCGGTCTTTCATAGGTTTATGCCCAGGAACACTTTTCTCATCTTTCGTGATGTAGGTACGGTTCGGCATGCGTTTCCAAAGCAAACCAGTTTCATTACAATTAAATATTTGTTGTGGGCGATACCCTTCTGTTTCAATGAATTCTTGAAATTTGAGACAGAACTTCTCAGCTGCTTCTTTACCGGCACTAACAGACTCACCACGCATTAATACATGTTTAATTCCAGACCTTTTTTTTAAACTTTGTAAACCAGCCAGTGGTAGCCTTGAATTCTAACTCCTCGGATGACGAACCTGGAGTTTGTTCTTTCAATTTCTCAAAAATTTCTCTAGCCTTCTCTTGAATGATAGGCATACTAGTTACACCTCGTTTCATTTCCCGTTCATATATTCAAACTAAAAGCAACCTCTCCATTTTATCATGGATGGCACTTCTTTGCGTCGCAGATGTGATTTTCGTTACTCCTTCAGCTCCTCATAATAATAATAATGATTGAATGACCTTTAAATTCATTGTTAATTCAAGTTTCATTTAGTAATTATTAATACTAAGCATGCTTTAAGCATTTCTTCTTTCAGTGATCTTATTTTGTATGCAAAATGATAACAAATGTTTAATATTAATTTTTTTTCAGGCCGAGAAGTGTTCGTTAGAATTTGTTTTGTTCATTATCCGAATATGTGTTCGTTGTCCGAACACAAAAAATCTTTCTTGAAAGTGTTCGTTATCCAAATATGTGTTCGTTAAACGATTTGTTCGTTAACCGATCTGTTCGCTAACCGATCACCCACTGTATTGGGACCACATTTCCTAGATTGCGGCTACCCCCTATTTATTCAGAGAAAATATGTTTTTGTGTCTGATTTTGTAACTTAAAATATCATCTGCACTTATTAATTATCATATTTGAGGTCACCCCCTCGAGCAATTAAGATTGTGTTCTAGAACGTGAAGATCGGATCATTAGATCAAAAGTTATTCAGGGTGGAAAAATTTTTTATGCTAACACTTTTAGATTGTATTTTTATGAAATAGTCAAATTCATTAAAAAAGGAAGTACAACTCTCTACTCAACTGAAATTCCTAATTTTAGCTCATAGTTAATTATTTGCATTTTTTATTTTATTTATTTAACATTCATGCTAATGAATGCTCCTTATTTATCAAAATCTTAATATTTTTATCTGAGTACTGAAAATTTATGAACTTTTTCCGATGTCCTAAAATGTTTCTTTTTTTTTATTTGTGGTAACAGATTTACCATAACTATAAAAAGAAATTTTTTTTCTAAATTTTACTGTTTTTTATTTTTATTTTTTTATTTTTTTTTTAATAAAACCAGAGTTTTTAAACCCCCAAAAATTAAAGTTGATAGGTCCGACATATCTGACAAATATTTAATAATGTTTCAAAATTTTGTTTTAAATAAGGATTATTGTGATCTGCAACGAATAGTATCATATTATTTGCTCAAAATAACAAACCTAGCAGAAAACTGAATTCAATGCTATTTTTTATGCTAATAAATTCAATGTATCAATGCAGAAATGCATATAAATTGAAGAGCCTCTTGAAATACTTCAACTTCGTATCCAACTTCAGTGTGATAAGAGAAGCAACCTAAACATTTGCCATGAGATAACCTGGAAACTTCTTCAATGTTGAAATAATTTTTGCAACAAAATAAAGTATTTTTGCAAATTGTTTCAATACTTTTTATTATTTTTCTCAATTCCTGCTTTTTCTCTTAATCTCTTTCAATAGAGGTATGTGAGTACTTATATCAACATTTTGTCCTGAGAATCAAAGTAAAGGAGGAAGAAGTACCCAACACAGCTGTTATAAGCACTTCACTTCTACCAACTAATCTGGCTCAAGCAATATTTACACGTCCAAAGCCGGCTATTCTACAGTCGCCTCCTCCGCCCATTGTCGTCACTGCATCTCCTGCTCAAGGTATTCCTTTTTCTGATGGTTTCTAATTGGCTACTCTTTTTTTTTATCAAATAAGTCAACTCTTCAGAGATAAGTGGCTGAGTAAGTATCAAACTTCGTATATGATGTTAGATTTCATCAGGGAAAAAGCAAATTATTTAACCTCTATCCTAATTAGTTTTATTTCTCAAAGTTCTTTTTTTTTAATGGTCTGTGGTTTAACAACGTTTATTTTTTTAAAAAAAAAGGAGAGAGACATTTTGCTTACATCATATACAAGGAAGATTTTTGCTCTTCTGGTAAGGAATCTTAATTCTAGTTTATCTGCATAATGAATATTTTTTTTTAATTACGTCCATCATTTGCTCTCTCAAGAATGAGAAGTCTTGCAGCCCAATATAACAAAGAAATATCTCCAGGGGCGGAGAGCGTCTTGAAACTAGAAGAATTATGGGTCTCCTGAAGGGCAGAGCAGTTCCATAGATGCCCGCCTTTCATATGGGCCCTATTTGTACATAGAGTACAGTTAGGAGAGTGAGAAAAACCAACACGGTGCAAGTTCGCATGTAAGTAATCGTGCCCCGTCAACAATTGGAGAGATGAAACACTGATAGCTCTAGGGAGATTTTTCGGAAGACAGGATGATGACAGAAGGCTCTCCCAAGGTTTTCCAGAAACTTGCTCTCTGTTGGAAGAAACCCGGAGACTTCGAAGCTTTAGTTTCACAATTTGTTTAACATTTCTCAAATTTGTGGGCAACACAGGGAGCTCCAATAGAGATGCCTCTTTAGCAAGGTTATCAGCCTTTTAATTACCCCATAAGCCACAATGGCTGGGGATCCATTAGAGAGTTATCTCTTTTCCACTAGACAGAAGAGCATTAATAATGTTTTTGCAATTGAATTCAATGGCTGTAGGGAGTAGAACATATTTTGAAACAGTGTGAATTGCGGCCTGGCAGTCGATGAGAAGGACAAATCTAATTTCTATAATGATATGAATGAATATGAACAATGACATAAATTTAGATCAAGTTGTTTTGTTTTAGTTAAATACTTAATAGTGTTATTGTAGCATCTAAAATAATCATTCAATAAACAAATGAAATCACAGTATTTAGAAAATTTCTTCGTGTCATCATTCATGGTGAGATACACTTGCTTGTTCTTTCTCACTCTTTTATTCTAACAAGTAAATATACTTTTGGAGATATTATTGTAGGTTTAGGAGTGTTGAATCAAACATTTAGCTGACTTTTTGTTCGGTTATACTTGCTCTCCCAACTTTTACTAAAAAAATTCAAAAGATATGGCAGGAAATGCTGATGGAAGCATGTGATGGAACTAAAAAGAGACTTAAACTAGTTAAGAAAGTAAGAAGCGGTATTGTTTTAAAGCATTTGTTGTAAAGATTGCTACTTTAATTTATGCAAAAAAGTTTTTCCATAATTTATTTTATATTACTGTAACAAAAAATGGAAAGTGTTGGAGAACTTGTTGATATATCTCCAATAATGATTGAACTTTATTATAGAATTGAGATTCATTGACCTTGAGACAATTATTTTTACCTGGAGGGAAGTTATTCATTCCTTTATAATACTTATTTATATAGTAATAAATTCCTTTAATATAGACTCCTTAAATTTATCATAACTTTCTCCTTGATTTGAATCGCCCTTGTTCCCTTCAAAGCCATCACTATTATCCTTCCCATATACTCCTTTGGAATCTTATAGAAGTTCAACATTGTCTCAGCATAACTGAAATAAAAGGCCCATTCCTATGCCTTAGTCGGATGCTCCCATAAAACATTTTTTTAAATCTAAGTATTTATGAAAATTATCATATCTGTCATTTTCTCACAGACAATTTTCATTATTTGCCTCCCTCAGCTCCCTTTCCTCTCTTATTTTTTGTTGCTCCTGGTTCTCTTTCACTTTTTGTACCTCACGTTATTGTACCTTCCTGTCTTTTTGTTCCCTTTCTAATCTATTTTCTTTGATTTTTGCATGTATATCTTTGATATTATTTCTTAATGTACTTTTCATGAATTTTTCTTCTTAATTTGCACTCTTTGTGATTAATACCCTTACGCTATAAGTTGTTACATTCTCAGGAATGGCCAAGGCTTTAGCTTCCTCAGAATAAGATCTTCCTTTTTTTAATTAATTTCACAAACACTAAAACAAAATTTCTATTTGAAGATATTCCGAGACAATAATTGTAATTCAATACTCATACCCTGACATTCTATACCACAGCCAAATACATGAAATGTAGAAAGGATTTACATAACATATTTTATAGCATGCAACATTCTAGATATACTATTACTCTTTATTACACATACTATGTACAATTTACTCTAATCAGTTTTAATTGCAAAAACACAATAAATACCTTGTACCCTTTTAGTATCCAGAAAGAAAATACACATTTATTTCTCATAAAATTCATAAACTCTTCAACACCATAAACTTAAGAGGAATAATCTACAATGACTTATTGTTGAATAAAAAAAGCTTTCATTGACCAATTTTTCCTGCCAAAATTACTTTTAACTTTACAAAATGCATAATCACAATAATTATCACTTTAACATGCCATTTACAGAACTTTCTTATCAGTAATATCATATTCAGTTCGCTATTAACATATGAAACTGCAATTTTAAGATACTCTTATACAAATTTTATTGAGATGTTTAATCAATATTTTTTTCTTCATTGACATTTATTCTAAGTAAACAAACAAACAATAATCTTCAAAAATGCTGAATCACTGTTAACTGTATCATTATTATTAATCATGCAAACAATTATATTATTAATTAGCCAATTCCTTAATCTGAGATAAAAATACACAAGGCGCACTTTAAACTAAAACCAAAAATAAAATTTTTCCCCTCAACTACAGCTCTTTTGATTTTTACCCCACAGGAAATATGTGTGTGTGATTTTTCATTCATGCATAAGATAAAGCTTAAAATATTTTATGCAGCTGATTATCACTAATATCATAGGTCATTCCACGTCCATTCACTGTCTACCATTGGTCGGCTTCTTACACAGCTCACCCTTCAGAGCAATAGGGTAGCAAAAGGGTTCTCCGTATCGCTTATGGCAATAACTATCTTTCAAGAAAAGAATTTCATAACAAGGCTTTTCTTCAATCAACATTATCAAAAGATTCACATCATTCTAAATTCTTATAATTTTCCACTGTTTAATCATCTCTGTTAAGGGGGTCGGACTGTATAAACAAAGATTTAAGGATTGACAAACGAGGACTATTTAACAATGTTTTTTAATGAAACAATGAATGATGCCATTCTGCAAGACATCTGACTACAACAGAACAAAAAACAACAAGAACTCTCCTTTTCGCCACATTAAATAGATAAAATGTAGCCAAAGCCATGAGTGGCACCAACAATCTCCTCAGACCTTTTTATCCTGCCAGGTGGAGTGAAAGCTGTCTTTTCATTTTCAGATTGTCCAAGGATTTCTCTAATTTTAATTAAACTTTTATTATCCCTTTTTGATTAACTCGTAAAACTATTTATATAATTATAAAATGTCCCACTAGGAGCTACTCTGCAACAATTCCTCACCTCAACTCTTCTCTTTATCCACGCCATCTATATCAATTTAAAGTCTCTAATATCTTTTTTAAAATAGTTTCTCCCTCATGATAGGGGACTCACCCACTGACCTTGAATCCAGGGCATGGGAGTGGAGTCCTGACAAATATTATAAAAGCTTTGTAAAAATATCTTTTAAAAACTTTTAGATTTTTTTCTATCTTTACTAATTATAGTTGTTTCAGGTTCTTCCCCCGTGGTGACATTAACTAATGCTGCCCCTTGTACTGTAGACATGACATCTGCTGTCCCAGTGCTTCAGGCCCTCGAAGTGATCCCTCAAAACATAATCACAACGAATCTTCTCTTGACTGCTCCTCCTCTTCCCCTTCCTCCCAACCAGATCATCATTCAAACCATGGTGGTGAGTTCTCTCCCTTCATACACACAACAAAAGTTGTTTTAATACTGGATTAGGTTGCAATTTTAATTACATTTTTTTTTGTGTGTGTGTGCCTCAAATCAACTATTATGCAGATTCACTGATATTGTGGAAATGATTTTAGGAAGCTTGAATATTTATTTTTGCTAAAGCATGTAAAAAGCACTTTCAAAATTTAGTGTCATTTGGAAGCTGCTAATAAATGTTACATAAAAATAAAAAATATTCGAAAACATATGTTTCTTTACTATTGGATTGTTTTTTTTTTTTCAAATCTCTTTTCGTTTAAATGGTTTTTATATGATAGTTTTTTGTTCATAATAGGTACTTTGGTTTATAATTGATTTAAATGTCTGAACCTTTCTTTCTCTCTACTACATAAATCAGTGGTGTGGCAGCCCATAGAGCGCCAAGGTCTACCATGTCCATCTCAGTTTTCTTGATCATGGGCTCTGGAATGCAGGAGCAGATGTTCTGGTTAGGTTGTCAGCTGAACGCAGAACCCCCAGTGTTTAGTTCCCAAGCATGCTTGGTCGACCTACTGAAGGGATGAATGGCCGAGTCAACCTTGCCCGGCCCGTGGATCGAACCCTGTGTAATTAATAAATCGCTTTGTTCTGGTACTATTGTGTACTTAAGACATGTTAAAACTAAAGTTATTTTACTGAGTAGTTAATTTTTTATTTGGTTGATTATGATTTTTTAACATTAAAATTAGGGTAATCTTTCGAGAACAACAAAAATATATAAAGAAAATTCAGCTTTTTTTCTTTCCCCACCAAGAAGTCTAAATATTTTTTCCAGTTTGTATAATGAGAAGAAAAATTTGGAAAATAAGTAAAATCTAATAATATTTAGAAGTTTCCATGGCATACTATTATTGCAGAGAATTATAATAATTGAGCTTGATGCCATTAGAACTACCCTTAATAATTGTTCATTTTTCAGCCGGAAGGACAAGAAGATTCATCTCCTCATGTGATGATCAACACTCAGACGTCTCTTGCGTCCACTCAGATACCTTCTGCTCCACCCTCCCCCTCTACAGTATTAGATGACGAAAGATCTCCCCTCATGGAAGCATCTTTTGAAACTCAGGTCTGATATTTTCCTCTAATCTTTTCTCCTACATTTTTAATTATTCATTACTAACTTTGCCAGAATGTTGATATCAAAGTTAAAACTTTATATATTTTTCCTTCTTAATGGAAAAATAAATCCCTCTTTCTATATTAAAAAAGAAAAAGAAATATGTTCGATTGAAATTTTTAAAATATTTTTTTTATAAATATGTATTTAACTTACATATAGAAAATATTAAATAAAATAGTAAAATTACGTTTTTTTCAAAACATTACAAATTTTTTATTCTAAAATATTTTATTATTAAATATTATTTACCTTAGTATTTATTTTGTTACTCACCTTTTATAGGAAAAAGTATGAAAATTTTTAAAGTGAAATTAAGAATGTTATGATTAATTTCCTATATCAATTTATTCAGGGGTGATAGTATTTCAGTAAAGTACTAAAATTCTAAGTTTTTTTTTTATTGCAATGCTGAAAAACCGGTAATTTTTATGAAGATATTTTTACAAAAAATTTAAAATTTATTTTCTTTAAAGAAAGTTTTAAATTTTTTTTTATTGTCTTAATGTGTGTGAGGAGTTAAGAAAAAGCATGTTTTTTTTTTCTCTCCATGGATTGTTATCAGTCTTCCCCTAGAAGAATTTTGTCCTTCACTTGCAGAATTTCTTACCATTCGTTATTTTTGTGTAGGGATTTTATTTTTCCTTGGTATATATTATTTCTTCGAATTTTTTCATTAACTCTATTGTCCTTGTATTTGTTAGTTTTATTTTATTAATATGGAACATTAATGTTTTTTTATCATTTCCCTTTAACTTTCTACTCATAATTTTATCATATTAAAACAATTTACAAAGTAAGCATCTCAACATACATCGCTATTATGTGGGAAAGTTACACCTTATCTTATTTGTCTGTCATGCACACTAGGCTGTCCATGGTCATGAGTTATTTTTTAACTCCTTATTCTAACTTATTTTTTAACTTTTTCCCACTACGTTTTTCTCAACAAATCCTACAAAAATTCAATCACATAAACTTATCAATTCAGATTTTCATTTGTTTCTTTCTCGGTAAAATATTTAAATGAAAAAATATTAATTTTGTAGAAGACATCAAAACCCTGCTTACAATTTTCCTTGAAGAAAAGCAACTCAAATTTTACACTCTGATGAACTTTCTAAAACTTTGAGTATAGAAAGTTCATTATTGATAAATAAATATTTTTTATGAATATATTTTAAAAGTCACACCTGATAATTCTTACATTTTATTCTAATGATATTCTTTTTGCAGACTCTGAATGAAAATGACAACATGAATCAAGATTCAGACATTGAAAATGTGAATCATATTGTTGGTGATGACACTCACCTCATTTCCTCAGGTAATTTTTCCTTTTTTCACTTTCTCTCTCTCTCTAAAGATGGAAGCAGTACATAATTAAGAATAATTTGCTGGAGATTAACTAACTGAATAAAGTAAATTAAGTAACTGAATAAATACAAATTATCAACTTTAAGAAATATTTTTTTCCTTCAAAAAATAGTAAAAATTGTACTTTTTTTTTTTTCTTTTTAAAATACATGTTCATAACTGCAAGTAAAAAGTAAATTGTTAATGTCTCTTTCAACTTTTATTGTTTAAAAAATAAATTTGTTTGAATTCTTCTTCTATGATCTGGTCAGTCAGTAAAATCTAGTTAAATTTTTGCCCATGATCGCTTACTATATCATCTGTAACATCTTCTGTTAAGATAGTGTCTAAAAAAGTATACAGCATTTTAGCTTTGCAAGATATTTTTTTTATCAAGTGTATGGTTAAAGCTTGGTTAATTCATTTCTAATGGTATCTGGATGATAAAACATAACGAGGGAGTTGATTGTGTAATATTATTTATTCATTTCAGATCCTATGTTAGCAGCAGGTTCTGGAACAGGAAATTCTGATATGGAATCTGAAAAGATGCATTCTCTGGAAGTTCATCACCTCACTCACAGTTAATTATAATAATCAATAAAAGTTATTTGATAGTTTAATCTATTTACTTCATTCGTTCGTATAGCAAGAAAAAAATTTCACAAAGAATGTTTTATTTATGCATTGAATTTCATTTTACTGGTCATCAAGAATCTTATTATATTAAGATTAAATTCTTCTTTCCTTTTTTTTTAGAAAAAAAGAACTTCTCTATTTCAAAATATTGTCGAGTCTCAGTAGCTCAGGGGTAGAATTCGCTTCTATAAAGCCGAAGATCCTCGGTTCGATCCGGGAAGCGGACACTCATTTTTCTATTTAGTTTATGAGCATTCCAGAAGCTTCTGGAATGTTCAGTCTACGTCATTTCCTCTTTCGTTGTTCCTAGGAAGCTTCTAGAACATTCTGTGATAGTATAAAAGCGATCCCGTGATTGTAAAGAGGAGTTCTTCTGGGCGCAGACTGGTTCCCGGTGTTTGTAAATTCCTGATGTTAATAAATTATCAAAACCTCATCTTGTAATCTTCACTAAATCTAAACACTTTAACGTGACAAATTTGGTGGAGGCGCCGGGTAAGAGTTAATCTCTCAATCAATATCACGGAGCAAAACACTGACCGGCTTAGAAGAAGCCGTCGAGTCCAAGGACTTCTACCTTAATTTGGACTATACGAAAAACCTAAAGAAGCCGTTCCTGAAACGACTGTGCCAAAGACAGCCATGGCCAATGTGCCAGAGACAGACATGGTCACTGGGGACCAACAGGATATTAAACCTGCCTTTTGGATGACGCCAACAGTTGCTGCTGAAGCCAGGAAACCAACAGTCTTTCGGGGTACTCCAGGACAAGATCCGACAAAATGGCTGAAGGAATACCAGAGAGTGTCATCGTACAATCATTGGGATGACACTATTCAATTAGCTAATGCCTACTTCTTCCTGGACGGCACCGCAAGACAATGGTACGAAAACAATGAGGACTCACTGACGTCTTGGACTTTATTCGAAAGTGGTTTGAAAGTGACCTTTGGAGATACCCAATCCTAGCTCCGACGAGCCAAAGACCACCTCAAGTTTCGCGCACAAAAATCCGGCGAACGCATCCAGTCTTACATTCAAGACGTTCTCGGACTTTGCATTCAGGTTGACCCGACCATGTCCGAAGGAGATAAGGTTTCCCACCTCATGAAGGGCGTCTCAGAAGATGTCTTCCAAACCCTTCTTACGAGAGAAATCCTAACAACAGCCGATTTTACAAAGTGGTGCCTGTACATAGAAGAAATGAGACAAAAGAGAGTGGGACGGTACAAGTTTGCCAGATTACCTAATGTTGTCCCTATGACCGCAGCGGACGAAGCACCTGACTTGGCTGTGCTAATTTGTCAGATTGTCAGAGACGAAATTCAACATGTAAACGCGCAGCCATTCGAAGTCCATCCCCGTGAACTGCAAACTACTGAGGCTTCTATTCGAAGCGAGATGGACCGATCCATAGCAGCCCTTACAACCAACCGACCTCCCTTTATCACGACAGGACGCCCGATTGCAAGACCTCCTAGACGTTTGACTACATACGCCGCAAAACCACAAAATAATGTTCCTTGGAGTGAACCCCAACGAAAGACCGACCTGTGGCGTACCACGGATAACTGTCCTGTGAGCTTTCATTGCGGACGACCGGGGCATGTCGTTCGCTATTGTTGGGAACGCCCAAGGCCGGATTAACCATTAAGCACACTAAGCACGTGCTTAGGGCACCAGGTGATAGGGGGGGCACCACAAAGCCTGACTAAATGTTAGCAGTACATATTTTTTTTTTAAACATTGCTTAAAAAATGTATCATTTTGAGCTTCCATTTTAAGAGTAGGTAACAAGCTTTTCTAAGTACAAAATTTTACATAATAAAAGAAGAAAAAAAACAAAAGATGTTATGTATCAAAAATTTTTGGTCTTATAATGAAATTAGGTAGCGAATTTCTATGCGATAAAAGCTCTATTTATTTATCCATTACAATGATTCTATAACATACTACTGCGATTCATGTTTACAGAATATTTTTCGCAGTTGTAGCAAAGTTAATACTTCGTCAATTTGATTTATGCTTGTTTGCAGTTTTTGTGCATGTTTTTGTTTTTATGTGCTGCACATTTTTCAAAAATATTTGCTTACATTATATTTTTAATTATATTCTCATTGCAACTGGAAAAAGAAGTCATCAAATTACGAAAAGGTTGTGTTACAAAAATTTATTTCAAAATTTTACGTCAAATAATCAACAATCTGGAAATAGCCGAATATTGAAATTAGATTTTAAGATTTAGAATATATACTATGTAATATGAATGCAAGCAGCTAGTCTTTTAATAAGGAAGGAATTACAGGTTCCTTAGTCCTTAGAGTCTTGTATAAATACAAATGTTATAAAAGTTGAGCACATAAGATGTGTAAATTCACAATGTGATTTGGATGTTCGTTGACGGTGAAAAATACGTTAAAAAGAGTATTCATTAAAACTAGTTTAATTTTAAAATCAAATATAAGAAATAAGTAGCAATAAAATCAAATTTTCAATCATTGAATTGGGTTTAAGTGCAAGTAAACTATATTTTGTACATCTTATAACGAAATGTGTAGAAATTACAATTAGGAAATAAGAAAAGTTCTGAAAATTTCAAATCAAAAATAAATAGCCAATTAAGGAAAGATATTTTTATTAATTGAATTTAAAAATATGTTTAATAATAAATCCTTAATGATAATGATTAAAGTTTGAACCAATCAAAATTATTATTGAAAATGTATATAACTATGTAATTTCATCAATTTTTATTAAGATGATAATTCGAACATGTAAATATTTTGAAAATAATAATATTATTTCTGTCACTAAAAATAAATTTAATCGTTGTTATTAATTTTTACTTGCAGCTCGTGTGTACATCAGATTGAAATAAATAAATAACTAATTAAGGTATTTCCATTGTCCATTTAACTTTTTCTTAAAATAAAAATTGGTCATTCTGCATAAACGAGTGGGAAAAAAATTGTTGTTCCTGTTATTTTATTATAAGCACCAGACTGCTGGGAAACGTGGTCCAATTTAACCAGATCTTGCTTTCTGCATGTAACAAACAATCCCGCTGTAAAACAACAAAAGCTGTTTATTGCCAGCATTCGATTTCATGAATTCAAAGGCTCCTGAAAAGGACCACCGTGATTGTCCCCAACATATGTGTTAGAATACAAAGCTACATTTTCCGAGAAGAACCACTTTAAGGACAAGACTAGTGTAACCAATTGATTTACTACAGACAGAGAACATCCTTTCATCTCAGATATCTTTAAGCATCCTATAGGCGACTCGTTCTCCCTTCCTTTTTTTTAGAGAAAAGGGTTCATATCTCAGAAAATTCAAATTGTCTTCCTTTCGAAGGCTACAGGTACAAATAAATGGTGACTTAAGATTGAAGAAAGTGGGAGGTCTAGGAAAAGAAAAGTTTCTTGATTGACATAATTTTCAACCAATAACTTTATTTAAGCTACAATCAGTAACTAATTTCCCGTATTTACACACCCCCGTATATACACACAAATTAAACATTTTGGTAAACACTTTACACCTTAGTTTACAGGATTTTGTTTCAACTTGGTTCGTGNTTAGAAATTCTCCGCCATTTTCATGATGAACCTACTGCTGGACACCTGGGACTGACAAGAACATATGATCGTCTCCGAAAGAGATTCTTCAGGCCGGGGATTTTCCGAAGCGAGCGCCAATACGTAACACATTGCAAAGAGTGCCAGCGTCGAAAAGCTGTCCCACTGAAGCCATCCGGCTACCTAATCCCCATACCTCCAGCCGGAGTCCCATTTCAGCGTATTGGTATGAACTTGCTTGGACGTTTTCCAAAATCACAGGATGGAAATAAATGGGTAATCGTATGCACCGACTATCTTGCACGATACGCTGTGACAAAAGCTATTCCCAATGCAGAAGCTCCAGAAGTAGCAAAATTCTTTGTTGAAGAGATTCTTCTAAAACACGGAGCTCCGAGAACCATCATCACGGATCGTGGTCAAGTTTTTCAGTCGAGACTCATTGCCGAGATCAACCATCAGTGCAGCGTAGTTCATCGGATGACGACCGCATACCACCCTCAGACGAATGGACTCACAGAGCGCTTCAACAAAACTTTGGCAGACATGCTATCCATGTACATAGACGTTGAACACAAGACCTGGGATCTGATTTTGCCGTTCATCACGTTTGCTTATAACACAGCTAAGCAAGATACCACTAAGCATACGCCATTCTTGACGTTTGGACGAGAGGCTGAAACAACATTAGATACCATGTTCCAGTACCCCATCGAGGATTCGGAAACAAACTTCATTGCGAGGTTGAAGATCCGTGCAGAGGAATCTCGCCAGTTGGCTCGGATCCGCTCTTTGGAAGCGCAAGAGAAAGACCGACGTCGCTATGATTCCAAGCATCGCGCAGTGTTCTATCAGCCTGGTGACTTGGTGTGGATTTTTATTCCTGTGCGCAAGGTAGGTCGCTCCGAAAAATTTCTCAAAAAGTATTTTTGCCGGTATCAAGTTTTGTGTTGCATTTCGGAGGTTCAGATTCGGAGGTTCAGTTCAAGATTTTGACCCTACATCCAGGAGACGTAAACTAAAGGACATCGTTCATGTACTCAGGATGAAACCCTACTTTGCACCAGAGGCACAAGAGGACTTGTTTCCAGGCACACCGAGTACAGACCAAAACATGCGGGTCGCCAGAGTTCAGAATCAAAATGCAAGAACTGATGTCTCCAAGGCGACCACGGCCTATTCCGGACCAATAACAAGATCACACAGGAACCTATAACAGCGAGACGCTGTTCTTTTAAGACGGGAGTAATGTCGAGTCTCAGTAGCTCAGGGGTAGAATTCACTTCTATAAAGCCGAAGGTCCTCGGTTCGATCCGGGAAGGGGACACTAATTTTTCTATTTCGTTTATGAGCATTCCAGAAGCTTCTGGAATGTTCAGTCTATGTCATTTCCTCTTTCGTTG